TAGTTTATTTTTTCAAAAACACACTGACAGGAGCGTTATGCCATCAGCACGCAGGCTCCTCCCGCTGCCTTGATCTTCTCCTCAGCCTGTCGGCTGAAAAACTTGGCTTTGACGATCACAGGCTGCTTGGGCAGCTTTCCTTTGCCCAGAACTTTGTAGTAGCCCTGCAAATAAAAACATAAAAATTTACATTATTTTACTGAAAAAAAAAAAAAAAAAACAATACTAGAAGGTTTCAATGATGCAACATAATCATAATAAACTTTATAATGGACTTCAAAATGAACTGAAAATGACTAATTGAAAACAAGACATAAATAAAAGCTAAATAAAAACCTGTGAACTACAAAAAAAAAAACGAACAATATATCTACATAATAATCTAGATAACCACATCTGAATAGATATGGAAAACACCTGGTTAGACTACATTTAGAAATCTGTTAATAAAGCTCAGCTGATACCTTATTAATTAATTTCAATGTAAAACGTTTAAAACAACACTCCCACTGGGTCACAAATGCTCCACATGTGCAGGTCACATGACTCAAAGCAACAGTTAACCCAGACTGCAGCATCAGGCACATGCAGACCAATATTTGTTCAGCCAAGATCAAGCACAAGAAGCGTGAAATAAAACAAATGTACCAGGTTTAGTTTGGACTTTTCTCTATTACTGCAGTTAAAAGTAGGAATCATTTTATGGGGCCTGGATAGGATGGGTGAGAGACTCCCCCTAAAATGTGTTCCCTAAACTAGTCTTATGTTGAATTTTTATGTTTTTAGAGTGAAAGAACTCTCTTTCAAACATCCCACACTGCTTCACAATGGACCAACAGTGCTATGCCAATTATTCCAGATGTGCTGGGTTTGAGGATTGTCATTTCAGTCTGGAACAAGGACAAAAAACAAAACGAAAACCTAAACGATTCTCATCATATTGGAAATGCAGGTTCACACTTACAGCGCGCACAGCATCGATGATGGGGGCCGGGCCCTCGGGCTTCTTGCTGTAGTTGACCCGGGTCTGCTCGCTCACCAGCGTCCACAGCTTGTCCAGGTTGATGGTGGGGCAGTGGGAGGTGTTCCTCTTGAGGTGGTAATGCCTCATACCCACCTTACCGAAGTAACCCGGGTGGCTGAGGACAGAAAAACACACATTTAATCCCACATTCAATTAAGGAGCTCACGTCCAAACAATTTCAGGCTCTCTGTAACAACAGTTTGTAACTGTCCATGTGGGTGACTGGACCACGGCACGAACCAGTCGGTGAATAGGATCAGTCTTCACTCTAAGAGGACTCTAGCACACCAAGACAATATAACATGTCAAGATGAGACTCTAGTCTCTATAGGAACCAGAAACACCACTTGGATTTGCTGGCTAAGAACTAAAGAAACATTTTTAAAAAGACAGCATTATTACAAATGGCTTACTATTTGTCGAAGTTGATTCTGTGGTGATGCAGACCACCAGCATTTCCACGACCTCCGGGATGCTTTCTGTGCTTGCCTGTGAGGGAAACCAGCCTCTGTTAATGGCATCCCCAAACCACACAGGGACTGGAATGAGGAGCACAGCGGGTGTTTCTGCTCACCGATACGGCCATGCCCGTGGCTGACGTGTCCACGCAGCTTCCTGGTCTTGGACCTCTTGGTGGGCTATCATGAGAAGTTTAAAAATGAAAACCCAATTTCAAGTTTCTCTTCCACTACATTAAGGCAATTGAAGGCAACTAGCTAGCAAGACATCGTTTCTGAAACGTTGCCGACTTAATGTTTTTGTTGGAGGTTAACAACGCCGATGGAAGAGTTTTAACATATTACAATGTGTCTGTATTTCAAGTTTCTTCAGTATCTGTATTCTGCAGTACACTGGCACGTTACCTAGCATATTTGAAGCTAACCTTCTATAAGCCTACAGCCTTGGTCTTAAGTTAACATAATAATTTGGTATGACAGTTTCGGGCAACCTTTATCATAAACGAAGTAAAAACATTGAAAACTAATCTTGGTGAGTCAATTATTACAGACTTATTGAATCTCCTAAGCCGTTGTTACGCTAATACAGCCGAGGTCCAACACAGCCCCGTTAGCACACATTGAAACGACCCTAAAACACTTCCATTTTTAAGTAAATTACAATAACTGCCTATATATGTTCTTTATTGGCCGTTCTTAAAAATGACATTGTCATATATGTGTTTCTTTCGTCGAAGAAGGAGGATGAGATCAGATAGCATTGAAATTCTCAATTTCCGAATACCGGGGTATTCGTCTTACCATCTTGGAGGCTAGTTGAAAGAGAACGGGATTTGGAAACACCGCGGTATTATGCGAGACTTGGGTTCAAAGCAACGCGGCTTAATGCTTACAGCGGCCTCTGCTGATAAATAAGGGAACAGAATGACATCTCCGGGCCACCGTACTGAGCTACCAACATATTTAACTCAAAATGACAGTTGTATCGAGACTAGGTAAAAGAATAACATTTCTGAAGACAAACAAAATCCGTAATTGCCGCCGTATTAGTAAAATGTCTTAACTGGACTTAAATATCTACCTGGCTGCGCATGTGTTTGGTTTGGTTATGAGTTGTTGAGTGCTAAATAATAGATTAACTAACTATTATGATAGAAGCTTGACTCGACCATCCCTTTTTATTTCAGTAAAATCACGTGTATAAGATTATTTCTTGTTTTTTAATGTAATTGTGCTATAATTAGTTGATTCTCCTTTAAACCAAAACATTACAAAATAAAAAAGAATAAAAAGAAAGATATAATTGTAATACAATATTTTTTCAAATTTCTTTTTAACAACCTGCGATACATGATTTTATACTAGTTGCATTCTTCCTTTACAAGTTTACACAAATAGTGTTGCACTTTACTGTCCAAATGTATTTTCATTAGATTAATCTGCATAAAGCACAAGAGAATGATGTGGTTTTCATTCAAAATAACTGCTTGCTTGATTGAACAATTTCCACTCATGCACCTTTGTGTAAGAGGTAGTCATATCTTTTGAGACCCAATCTTTTATTTGGTGTGTTTCTTTTTTCTTTTCTGCTGTATCTGTGAGATTACTAGGACATATTACGTTTAATGACTATTCTCTAGTTTTATTCATACAGGGACAGTGGGTTTATCTCTGTGATCAAAATGTGTAATTTATGTGTTTGGAAAGTTTTCTCTGCAATTTGGTTCTGAGTATTCAAAAACTCTTAATGACAAAGTAAAGACACGGTTGGTTGAAAACATATTAAAACATTTTATTTTAGATTTCAAACAATAGGGTGTGATTCAACTAGGTTAAAGTTGAAGAAAAATGAAGTATCATATATATACATAGCATGGAGCATCTGATACACTAAGGAAAAGGGATAGAGGGATGCTAAACAATGCAAGACAACAAAAGGTTACTACTATATGTACAATGCGTATTTAGGAGATCATAAGCAGTATGTAACAACAGTACCAGTCTGCACATGGACATAGACAGTATGAGTGAAAACAGTACTTTTGGATACAAACTACAAAATATACTATAAACTATGAAATATGAGTATGAATGGCTTGATATTTAAAACATGTCCACTGACTTTATGGGTACATTTATCAGGCGGCTGAGAGTTCATTTACATGAGGCATGTCTGTTATTCAAAGTTGTTGGATGAACCTACAGCTTGTCACTTGCCATTGGTCAGGACCTCAGAGAGTAAACGGTATTCGTCCCAAATCTGCTTTATCTTCCGTCTGCCACATCAGGAGAGGTTTGTTGCTGCTTTATTGGTGTGCACCCGCAGCCTTGTAAGGGGAAGTTCTTCAGAATCGGTCACTTATGGATTCTAGGGATAATTTCCTTTGTTTCAGATGAAACATCTGGCAACATCGAGGTCAGTATAAAACTACTTGTTACCTCACAAAAATGTATTAAGTAGGAACCATGATGAATGTATAATGTTGAGACAGATTTAATTATATCACTTTTCAATGAGCTGTTGCATCAGTGATGTTGGAGGAAAAACACTGTTGATGAAAAAGAGTCACATGTATTACTGACTAATGCTTCAGACACCATGGATGCTCAATTTTTTAAGTACTTTTTAGTCGTCTTGTTTAATCACAAGTATTATCAAATTGTTAGGTACCTTAAAAGATGAAGATCTTCACCAATTAGGAGAAGATCGCTGAACTTTGTTTATCAATACAGACCTGTGAATTTTTTTTCTGAGGAAAAATTCTTGTGAAATTGTCGATGAGGCAGCAGATAGATGAGGCGGTAGATAGATATTTCAAAATCTCGAGACAGCTCCCATTTATTTTCATGTACCATCAAAAAAAAAGAAAGAAACTAAACAAAAAAAAAAGCAAACAAACAGGACAAAGCGGCTGTATTTTACTGAAGGTATACACATATATTTGCCCTGACTTACATGTATGTACAGCATTGATGCTTAAAGCATCACATGATTGCACCTGAAACATGTTTTATGAAAGCTTGTTGTGACTCAGGGCTGAAATGTCAGGGGGCTGATGTTGGGATCGGTGCTCCACCAATCAAATGGTTAGCGTTCCCCTTGATACTGGACACCTGCAGCAGTCCTGCTCTTCTCCTCCTCAGCTCACATCTACCTCAGGAGGAGAAGAGCAGGCCGTACTGAAGCTCACACTTTGCTTTTAGACTGGCTCAGTTCTCACTCAGACAAGGTTTGATTTATCAGATTCTATTTGCATGCTAACTGCCGTTTCAGCAATGTGTTTTTTGTGTCATTATCTTCATCCATTCGAGCTTTTTGTGTTAAAAGGAATGATCAAGTGAGCATTGAATGGAAACTGGGTAATTTTTTTTTCCTGGTGGCTTCAATTTGTCTTCATTTAGCTGTTTTGTCCTCACATATTTAGAGCACGGTGGGGATCTCAAACCAGCATCTTCTGTGTTTATTCACCCGCTCCGTCACCCCGAGAGGCCAGATCTCCTGGAGATGGCAGACTCAACTCCAACACACCATGGCAACTTTCCACAAAGGCGACCCACCCTATTTCCACGGGGAGTCAGGAGAGGAGCGCGGCTGGCACTGGAGGCCGTGTCATACGAGACTGGTCCAAGTCTGGCAACCACAGCCGAGGGGCCAACCTCCTCAGCAGAACACGTAATGCACATGTACACGTCTGTGAGGAAAGCAATGTGGATCAAACACGGGGTTATCTCAAGAGCTCCAAAATGAGAGAATAATGAGAGTTGATGTTAAACAATCTGTTTACCAGAGTGGTGCTTAAATCCTGAAATCTTCTTCAGCTCAGCAGATCTGGATTCTGTAAGATGGAAGAAGAGGAAAACCGGTCTTACAACGGGGAAACCAGAACCGACCCTCCAACTCAGAAGCGGGGACGTCCCACTGATAAAAGTGTGAAGGCTCTCCTGCAGAGAATCAGGTAAAATGTGGAGCAACACGTTGACTTGCTCAGTCGAATAAAAAAAAAGTTTTTGGCACCATCTCACAGCTCTGAGATAATTAAGAGAATGCTTAAACAGTCATGCAAATTGAGGTAGTGTGGAGCAAGAAGGCGACTGGATTAACTCAGTATTAACTAAAGCAGTTGGAGCCGAGAGGCTTCCACTAAATAGATGTCAGAGATTTAAGCGGAAGGTTTGTGCTTTTTACATCAAAACCTGCAGAATGTGGCACCTTTTAAGCCGGACGTGCTTTTTTACAGACACAAAAAAGGAGCAGAGGACACAAAAGTAGATTCTGATGGTCACTGAAGGACCCTCATGGACACATAGATCCAGAAAGAGTTTATATGGACTACGCTACAACTGAGTAATAGCTTTATCTATACAGACCCCGGCGATTTCCAGACTTTGCAAATGACCTGACAATTCATGGCAGTGACGCTAAAGCCCTGTCGGTATGAGAATGGTGACCTATGGACACCAGGCGGCAGCAAAGCGCCTGCATTTCCCTCCGTTAGGCTATGTGTTTGTAACCTTTCTGTGAAGCAAACAGACCATCATTCAATTTTATCTGTAAATCTACGGTTTGTTTATTCGCTTGTGGTTTTAAACCACAATGATTTTTCTCTGTCTCAAATCACCTTCTACCACATCTGAAAGCCCTAAAAGAGACATGTTGCTTCCTTTTTTCCAAACTGGTTTTACCCAAAGCACTCTTAGTTTAGAAAATCCAAAACAAATCCAGAAGGGTGAGATACCGAATCAGATAAACCCTCTGACTCCCTGAACGGTTAGCAATTAGACTAGTTTCCACTGCAGGTTTTGGGACTATTAGATTCCTTTTTTAACCAGATTCAAGAAACATTTTCCTTGATATGTGGTTTGATTAGAACTTTGGTATCTAACGGTTTTTAATATGTGATCCTGACATGCACAGGTGACAGGAATGCCATGTAGCCTTGTTCTTATCTGTGCAGGATTCCCCCAGAGGCCCGGAGGATTCTGGGTGACTCCTGCATAGCCGTGGTGAGCCTGGAGCGCCTGAACTTCCAGTCTGTGACGGTGTCGTCTCTACAGCCGGTGGTGTCTCTGGTGCGACTGCCATGGCAACTACAAGCTGAGCTCCACCAGGACACGTCCCTCAGTTGTCCAGAACAGGTAGAAAAACTGTATAAAAAAAGGACTGGACACCGTCATGTTAGGCAAAGAAAAGCTTGAGTTGCTTTTTAAAATGAACTCTTTTAGTCTTCTCTTCACTTGCAGGGTGAAGTCGATATTGTACAGACAAAAGAGGAATCTATCAATTCTGATTCATCAGAGAGGGCCGATGAGCCAGAAACAAGCCCAACATCCTGGACTGAGCCCTACTGTCCTGACAGCTGCTCGTACCAGGAGCCGGAGCAGGACTCGGGCTTCGACTGCGAATCCAACCCCGATCAGCCTCTGATCCTGTGCGACTCTGAATCTGAGGACGGGGAGAGCGACCTGGGAACCTTTTATCTGGACCCGGACCCCGAGCAGGCCGTGGTGATCGAGATCGATCCGGAAGCGGGGCAGGATCCAGACCTTCAGCTGGAGGACGAGCCCGAGCTCAAAAGCGAGGCCGACGCTCTGGAAATGAACCAAGGAGATGCGAGATCGGGGGGCTGCCTCTCGCCCGAGCGGCCGTCTGGAGCCGGGGCGGAGGCCGGGGACATGGAGAGCGAGGACTTTTGTGGCGTTTGCCTGAACGGAGGAGATCTGCTCTGCTGTGACCGCTGCCCCAAAGTCTACCACCTCTCCTGCCATCTACCTCAGCTCAATAGCTTCCCACTGTAAGTCTTATTTCGGGCCTTTTGCAGCTTATGATCTACCTCTGTCAACGAGCACAATTCTATAAACGGTCAATGTTGATTGTAAAGACATTTACATCATGTCCAGAATGTGAAACTGTACAGATTCTGTGTGTTGCAGAGGAGACTGGGCGTGTACACTGTGCAGAACTGATCAGGATCCCGCAGAGGGCTACGACTGTGAGAGCATGCACTCCTGTGGGGGGGTCAAAGTGCCCTACACGCTGTCTGACCAGGACCAGAGGGTGAGCCGTGGGGCAGAAGGAGCCGTTGGCCTCTACGTTGCAGTTTAAAAGCCCTCTTGAAGTGGTGCACGCTTTGGAAATCTGGCTTCCAGTGAAGGCAGTTTCCAGCTCACTTCCTGTTTTCTTTTATCTCTGTTCTCCACAGAGGTGTGAGAAGTTGTCTCTGCTGTTGTTCTGCCACGCCCTCAGCGCTCCCTTCCACGAACCCGTCAGTCCTCTGGTCAGTCCTCGGAGAAAGCCCCTTGGCAGAAACGTAACGCGCAAATTAGGAAAACGAGAGAAATGACTGCGTTGTCATGCAGTTTGAGTACAGCACAAAGCTTTGGGTCAATTATCTAAGAATGTGGGACAACTCGGTGTCACAACAGGGTTTGCCTGGCCGATTGAGTTCCGCTCAGGGCGTGTCTTTAAAATGTTCTTATTCACTGTCCTTCCACCAAGTTGTGTTTAAATGGCAACATTCGCCCCTATGTTACCCAAATCCTGAATGTGCCACAGGCCCGGAACTACTACCAGATCATCAAGAGGCCAATTGACCTGTCAGTGATCCGCAGGAAACTGGACCAGAGCAACACTCTGCATTACTTCACGGCCGAGCAGTTTGTGGACGACGTCCTGTTGATGTTCAAGAACTGCGCCGTTTTCAATTACGTGAGTCTTCAGGGTGTAGTCTGCTCCTGGCCTGCAGGGATGGGGTCCTGGCAGAAACCAGTGGGCCTGTTCTCCATGCAGAAATGGACATTCACAACCTGACTTATCTTTCTGTGTGGCAGGAAATGTAAGTTAAAGTGGATTTAATTGAGCACTTTGCACTAGTCCACGTTTGAGGACTTCCTCAGACAACTGCAAATGCGGCAGAGCTTGGATTTAGCTTAGGGTCACCATGTTTTGATTTCCAAAAAGGAGGACATTTTGCCTCCAGACGGATGCAGACAGGCTTCTCAGATGTTCATGAATACACTTTATTATACCTCAATGGTACAAAAAGAACTTCGGTAGTAAAACACAATCTGTAACAACCAGTACCAAAATTATAGCCCGCCTTTAGAATACATGAATAAAATCAAATAATCAAATAATGAAGTACCGTAGCGCCAGTCGATTCTGGTCCCATGAAAAACAATGAAAACTGGACATTTTTATGAATTTATAATCCCCCACGGACGCCCCGGACAGGATGTAACAAGTGGACATGTCCGAGCAAAAGAGGACCTTTGGTCACCCTAATTTAGCCTGCCTTTGACTGATTTAGCACACCAACACCACCGCTAATATCCTGGATTTTTTAAATATTTTTCATATTTTAGCATGCTTACATTGACTAACGAGAGCAAGGCGGGCCATAATATGACTAAATGTGCTCTTTGATTTTGAATTTAAAAAACAAAAGTCTTCTGTAATATATCAAAATCTGGTTCCGATGCATGAGGAATGAATCCAGCTTCCGTTGTGCATTGTCATAGAATGTTCTTTGAGGGAACAACACTGAACAGTCTGTGTGCTCTTTGATACGCAGCCGGATTCAGAGGTGGCCCACGCCGGCCGAAACCTGGAAGTGTTCTTCTTGAGTAAGCTGAGGGAGACTTTTCCTGACCGGATATTCCCATCAGCAAGCCAGGACCGGATGGACAGAGCTCGCCTCCGGTGGCTGAACAGGAGGAGGATAGAAAACTACCGAAGAAAAAGACATGTCTTCCGTGACAAAAAATATGTCCTATAAGCTACATGCAGTCAGTTTCTGTTTTGTTAAAGGACATTTTCCTTTTTTTTTTGCACTAATCAATTGTGATATCTCAGGCGTTTTTACCCCAAAACTCAGATATAAAACATTTCTCGATTAAACAATGTTTAATTTAATAGGAATGAAATAATTTGTGTATCATTTTGAATTATGTAGGATTTCTAAAACAATGTACAGCAACAACACGCAGCAAACATTCTCCTTTTTATCAAACAGGATATTTGCTCTATCATGTAAATGTACTATTTGCTGTGCGCTTTGTGAGAGTTTCCACCACCAACTACAGCTTTGTGATCAGCTCACATGATCTCCCCAACAGAAGGCACGCTTAGAACCGTTCACTTGTCTGAATGTAAACTTGTGTCATTGTAATTTGGAAATAAATGTATTTTCCAACGAGAACAATAATTCCCATTGGACATTAACATTAATTAGTTTTTTCCCCAATCTGCTTGGACTTTGAGGTCAGTGCCTATCTTTCGCTGTATTGATTATGAGATCATCTTGTTTATCATTGTTTTTTATCCAGGCAAAAGAAAATAAATCACATTTTTTTGACAAATGACAAATGACAAATATGGTCATCTTATGGACACATGGACATCTTAGGAGAAACAAACCCCTGATCAGAGGCACATTTTTTTCACAGGTTTTCTAACTATATTAGCAGTCAGTAGAGGCGAAAGCAAGGGTGGAGGACTTGCTGTGTTTTTTAGATGTTCCAGTCCTGTGTGCGGGACACTAGTCTGTGGATTTCTGTCCAAATTTAGCAATAAATCACACAGGAGATTTCACATTTTCACCCAAAAGAGAAGTTCCCCCTCCAGCGGCTAATTTCCTGAAAACTAATCTACTTTCATTTGCTCACTTTGTGGCAGAATGCTGCTTGCTAGCTGCTTCTTGCGTCGTCCAACGTGAATAATAACAACCAGCTATTTGCTAAACTGGGCCTAGCCCCAGTGGTTACTGATAGTAGCTTGCAGGTGCTTACCGGCCGGAGCCCTGTTAACGCTTTCTCCTAGCTTGTCCGAGCATCTCATGTTGAAATATCTTGATAGGAAATGCAAAACAGCTGTGGGAGTCCACTTAGTAAATAGTCCAGGAAAAGGGCCTCCAAAACATGCACGTCAGGTTGATCAAAGACTCTTAAATTGGCCTTAGGATTGGATATGTGTGTGTTTAGTTGTGTGCCCCTGTGATGGATTGGCGACCCGTCCAGGATGAACCCCGACTCCTGCCCAATGACAGCTGGGATAGGCACCAGTGACCCTACCGGGAATACGTGGTATAAACTAAAAATGGATTATATTTAGTTTAGTCTGAGATGCTGAAGACCTAGAGGGTGACATTTGAAACACACACGTTTTGAAGGTTGCGAACAAATTTGGAAGTGAAGCACAACCCCTCTATCTAATGTGAGAGTCTATCGGATCTCATCAGACTGTGTATGGTTTGATGTTCCTAAATGTATCTTCTGGATCCTAAATTTACGTGAGTCAAGTTGCCAACGTTTGCAGTCTGGAAGATAACTCTGTGGAAAGCATGTTGCTTTTGGGTTTTTCTTGGAAGTGCGAGTAAATAGACAGAGCTCTGGGGTTTGTATCACAGTCCTTCTGTGAAATCATCGACCTGTCTGTCTCCTGGAACCCTCCGCCGTTCACGGTGGTCTGCCCCGTGTGCAGGGGGGCTATCAGTGTTGAGCAGAGATTCTTTTTTAGCGTCTCATTCCTGCATGATTCAGCTCAACGTAAGAGGACACAAAAGACACAAAAAAGACTTCTTCATGTCATTTCTGCCATTTAAGGCAACTGGCAATACTCTCTTTCCCTGTTTTCTGTTTCTACATGTAATGTAATCAGCGCTGAAAGCTGCAGCACAAGAGCTTCTACTCTCTGAACCCAATAAAAAGCTTTTATTACGGACCAAAGCTGTTGCATCCACTGATAAAACCCACTCTTGTCCACCCCTAAATCCCATGTCTTTGATCTGAGTGGAACTCTAGGATCTCCAACTTATCAGCCACCAGTCATGTGCCAAATGTTGAGATGAAATGGCAGAAACTGACCATGAAATGTCATTAAAGGGAGTTTTAACCCACTTTATTAAGACCATTAAACCATGGTCACATGTTGGGTTTCCTTTTTCTTCTGTAGCCCAACTTTTTCTTCCTGTTTTGCATTGTGCAGATGTTTGATTTAGGAACATCAAAGCTCCCAGGCAGCCCCCCCCGCTCTGTCTATTTAAATCACTAATGCTCACAAGGAGGAGGGAGAGGCGGCATACTTCCAGCTGCAGAGATAAGAGCCACCTCTGATGTTCAGAGCAAACTCCACAGCATCCATTAGGTCTGATTAAACCCTTGGTATTTTTTCTGTTTTTTTAATGTAATCATTCACCTCACGGGAGCATCATCAATTTGAAGCCGTCTACTTATCTATAAAAAAAGAAAGAAAGATTAAAAATGGCCGGCAATAATTTGCCACAGGTCTATCTCATTTAGGGCCGTTTCCTAACTTTACGGTGTTGATAAAATGTGGCATTAAAAACTGTTGAGTGATGGAGTTTGGGAGGAGGATGAGTTCATGATGTTGTCTTTGGACACAGTTAAAAGCACATCTGATAGTTTATTAACCCCCCCCCCCCCCGCTGATGTTTTAAGGGAAAGGAAACTGTTTGAGTATTTTTGGCCGTATATTTGTTCAAAAACCTCTGGAAGATAACAGAGAAAAGAATTATGGCGCTTACTCTTTCAGGATACAGTTGTTTTCGCTAAAGAGATTTGAGCCTATCAATGTAGAAAAACGATTAGACGGAAAGGCCACATCGCCCTATTCATCATCATCATCATCACCATCATCATCAATTATTCGTCATTTTTATTTCTGCACATATTTTCCAAAGCCAAAGAAGGAAGAAAGAAAGAAAGAAACGTTCCTGTTTACCAAACAGCCTCTGGACTTCCTTCTTCTGGCCTGTACCTGGTACTTTTAGGATGGTGGCTCAGAATAGTAACATATGCAAGATGTTTATGAGAATTTGTAAGAATGTATGACTATGTTTGAGCCAACAATAATTGGACAGTGGACAAAGAACCATTCGAGAAACATAATTTTTTTTCGAACAATAGCAAAGTAACTTGCACGTCAAAATGATCGATAAGTGCCTCCTCAGGCCACTCTGTTGTTTTAAATTACAAAATCAAAGACTTTTCATGTTTATTGTGGTTGAAAGAGATGAATAGGCTCATTATGGGTATTTTTTCTCCATATACTCACTCTTTCCATCATCTGCAACAGCTGGAAATCCTCAAGGTTTCAACGCAGCGTTTGGCATCTTGTCTTCGCACTTTTCTTCAACACATGCAGACCCACTTTATGGGGGTTTATGGGATTTGCAAATCAATGCTATTTATTTTCGTTTATGTTCGACCACCGAACCCGCTGATCCTCGAAACTGCATTTGATAAGAAGCAGTTTATTTCTGTCTCAGTGTATATGCAGCTGTTGGAGGGCTTTCAGAATGAGTCTAACGTTGCTATCTGAAGGAATGAATCCAGCTTTGACACCAAGCTTTGCACACTTCTAAAGCTGTTGCAAAATCAATAAAAGCTAGACTGGTATGGCACAGGTTTCATGATAATAGCATCAGTCCTCTGACACCCAGAGAGGCCACAAGGAGCTCCGGCTTCATTAGCTGGTTTTTATCTGCTTAAAATCACTCTTTTTTGTTGCTGAGTTTTAATATTTATGGCTTATTCATCAAATTTACTACGAAATTCACAAGTTCTGCAATTTTGGCTCGACATATTGCAGACCCAATCCGCTCTACAAAGGCGGTTGTGGATCATATCAGATCCAAGATAAGGCTCACTCCTTCTTCAATCGTATTACAACACAGTCTGGCCTCTTGAAAAATGTATTTCTGATATGTATCACACTTGATTGTGAGCAGCAAACGTCTTTTTTTTGCTTCCACAAAGGAGAAGATGTCCCATTTGGCCTCTCACAGGTTAGGTGTACCCTTCCCTGGCTGTGCTGATGGGGTCAGGACATTGAATTTAGGTCACTGATGCCACGCTGACCCTTATCTGGACGCAACTTAACACTGTCAGCTGACTATGTAAAAGATGTATCGGCCAAATCATTATTATTCATCATGTGCACTGGGCTGAAAGTAAGAGTATATCAACTCCAGCAGACATTACATCACACTGCCATAGTTTTAAGTGTTATGATGTTTAAGTGGAATACTCTGGATACTGTGAACTCATTCACTTCCTTAAGTGGCAAAAGAGCCTTTACACTATTAGTGAGTTGGTGAGAATGCATGTTCAAGGAAGTTCCTTAAACCATTTATGCTATATGTTTAATATTTGTTATATACATTGGCCTACATATAAAGCATTTATATATATATACTGTTGAAACAGTTGATACATTTTTAATAAACTGATTTAAAAGTTTTGGTTTAATGCATTTTGTTTTTGTTTTAATGCTTAAGATATTCAAGATGTTCGTTTTGAACAAATTTGGCAGTTTGATTTATTTGTTTTTTAGAGGAATACAGGCCATCTGTGGTTTTAAGCACCCATGAAAAGGTAGGAAATTATAGGACCAGTATTTTCCTGGATGATGGTCCGATTTTTTTATTGTATTTATTTTTAAACCAACACAAGCCAAAGAGCCAGAAAAGTGTTTGCTAGTTTTGTTTGCAATGGAATTATTTGAAAAAACAACTATTGAATCTCTAGCAATTTGATGGACGTTGGAAGTATTTTTCCTGTTTGGTCTCTATGAGGCCTGAGGCTCAGCTTAGATTAAAGTGGAAATCCTTCTAAGGATCCAAGAACTGCTAAATTCAAATCTGTTCCTAATCTGAACAGTCAACATAAACTATATAAAAAAACATTTAGACATACTACAGATATTCTGGCTGAGGATTGTTCAGGAGCAGGCTGCTGTGTATCTCAGTGGCTGCTTCATTTTCAAATGTCATCTCACATCTGGCTGCCAGCCAGATCCCAATCACAGTCCAACATAACTTTTCCCTTGACAGGAATGACAGATAATCTCATTTTGGAGAATAAACAGAGGCCTTCCAGACAAGTTTCTTGCACAAACACATTATGTAATGGCTATGCCGATGCTCTATGGTGCTTTTTAAGTTTTTCTTTTTTTAAAGGGATGGGCCAAAGCTTCACGTGTGTTGTTGTGCTGCTTGATGTGTACAGTTTAGTGAGCACATGACGTCGTCCCACGTGAAAGCCTCTCTTGATTAGCTCAGGGGAAATAAGTTCAGCCTTCTGGGCTGATCAAAAGCTCCTATGGTTGGCTGGGCCTTCCACTGCATGCGCACCTTGTGAGGGAGCCGAATCACATTCTATGTGGACACAGCAGGAATGCTAAATGACAATGTAAAGCATGAGGGCAGCCCCTTGTTTTTCTGATCCAACGTGCATGCCACGGATTAATTGAGCTAAATGTTTTTCAGCCGTCAAAGCTAATGAGAGATCTAACTTTAATGTTTTGTGATCAAACGGGATTCAGGCGGACATGTTTTCCTAATCTGTGATGTCGTGTTTTTCCCTCCAACATTCTCCTTTGTTGTAATGAGAAACTAAAGGATTTTAAACTGATTTGTTGGTGATTTTAGTCCACATCTGAGCTCCCAAAACACAAAGTTGCCCGGATTTCATTAGTTTGGACCCAAGCAAGTTGATTTTTAGGGTATATGATATGTAAACACCACTGAATGGAACGAGGATCATTTGGTAAACATTCCTCGAGCACTCTCAGTTTTCCACGTCTTCCATTACGACCGGAGTAGCTTGATGTGGTCTGGTTGCTTAGATTTGACTGTTATTGCTTTTGCATAATGGTTTTTCCAAAAATATATTTTTTCTTTGATCCTATGATCAGTGACAATATTGTGTTCTCTTTCTTTACTAAATCGGATTGAGCGATCTTGAAATTGTTTGACAGAATTCCCAAACAATATGCAGAACAAAGGCGGCTTTCTGTTATAAAAACCCTGCATTGCCTGGTGATTGCAATAGAAAGTTGTGGAAATGCAAAACACATCACAATTAAGGCTAAAAATTAAGTAAGGTTGAGAAATGCTGAAAACAGGCAAAAATCACCACACTGTGTCACTGTGAGGTGTCAGTGTTTCTGGCTTATGGACTCAAAATGCCCAGAACAAATTCACAAGGTCAGAGAGTAAGAAAAAAAAAACGAAAAGTGGTTTGGATATAGAGAATATTCATTCTGTTGGCTAACGTTAAAGTGTGTGAAGTGAAAGCTGAGGGAGAATGATTTATTGAGTGTAAGTGCCACATTTTGTGAGGAGGCTGAAGATGAAGGAGATGGATTTCCTTGTCTGAACCGATTCCATTTGATGTCAGGCGTATGACTGATGCTGTATGCAGAGCCCTTTTATTGCCTGTGTTCTTGTGGTTTTTAGCTCGGAGCTTTGACTTTTCCCGACTGCTCTACTGAGATATGCCTGCTCACTTGAAGGATCACGCTAGCAAAGCGATCCGACGTTTTCCCCGTTCGGATCGCAGGCCGCCCTCAAGTTTAAGTTCAAGTTCTTTAGACAGAATATTCAAGAATACACAATATTGTTTAGCAGAAGGCTGAATGCTGAACAACAATGATGTGCTATGAGGAGAAAGCCACTGCTCTCCAAAAAGAACATCAACCTCTTGTTTATGATCATACCAGCTTCTCTAAAATCTCCTTAAAAACATTCAATTAATTTTTTCCCCCTGTCCCGTCTAATATCAAGGCAGTTGGCAGCAAATATGTTTATGCCAAACACATTTGCTTTAGTGAAATAAGGTCAATACAGTGAACATGAACATATGTGGTGTAGATCTTCCCTGGATTGTGCTCCATTATAAGTGTAGAGGGGCCCTCCTCCTCCCTTAGATGTTAAATAAGAGACATTTTCCTGTTTAATAAAAAGCAAAAAGGCGATCATGAATTCAATGGACGCCCGACTGCCAAGATAACATTTTGAGTCCATATTTACAACTGTTAGGCATCATTTTTTAACACCAGTCTCGTAATTGTCTTGGAACTCGGGAAACCAGATTCCATCAGGTCAACAGTCCTGAGTCTTTATTGAAGTATTCATTCCACGAACAGCAAGTTTTTTTATTTTTTTCTGCTACAGGCAGCATTTCAAAATGTGATTACTGAAGTGTTCCAATTTGCCTCTGACTCTTTCAAATGAGCTCTGGCACAGAGGAGATGATGGCATTCCTGGATGATGTTGAAATGATTCCTTGCACAAAAGAGCTTTGACCTTATTTGTGGATGACAGGGTGAATTGTGCTCACCGAGAGAGAGTTTTGGAAATATTTCTGATCCAATGCTGAGGACTCTAATACAAAATTTTGTGTACTGCAGCCTAAGGATTCTACACTTTGTGCACAGAACATGTCTTCAAACTGTCTTAAAGTCAAATTTATTTAATACTGACCTGTTTTCAGTTAATCCAATAAGTGTCTGCATGCTCTGTTTCTTTGTAGTATATTTGAAGTCTTCTGTCACCCAATCTTCTGGTTTCTGGATGTTTCACTGACATCATATTCAAGGTGATTTAATACCTTTTATGAAAGCGTCTCAAATTCCACATGTTTATTATGTCTTACTGTAAATCATACATAGGTTCACCAGTTCAGTGAATCATTGTGTTCTGTATTATTTCAGATTTATATCAGATTTATATAGTTTTTATGGTGTTTGAAAATAAAAGTAATGTTTGATTTGTTCAAATAGATGAAACAATCTGTTTTAATGAGGAGATGGAGTAAGGGTATGTAAACTGGGAAAAAAGGAATTTTAATCACAACAAAACACTGTGCTCCAAGGGCAATGAAGACCTGAATAACTGCACCTATTTTCTTGCTTCCTGGTTTGTCTTTATTGACATCAGGCATTCGTAATTACACTTCATTTGAAAAGAAATGGCTGTTTCCGAGACTGCGTGGCAATGACCCAAAGCAAATAAGCTGTTCTATCAGAGAATAAAAGAGAGGAAGAAAGTGAGTATTTTAGGATGACCAGGCCAAAGCCCTGACCTTAATCCTGCCAAATCTTGTGGAACGTCTTAAAAACAAGCAGTTCAAGAAAGGAAACCCACCAGTATATAAAAGTTGAACCTTCTCTACGGAGAGGCATGTCTCACATTTCGGCCTCTTGGAGTGTAATATTGGATAATTGTCCTTTGGAAAGGGGAATTTACCTTTCTTTGCCAACTTTGAGAAGAAAATAAGTTCACGTGGCTCCCGAGCTGCAAATCTTAGGCTCTGACTCTGGAGCACATGTTCTCTCCTCTTTTCCAGGAAGGAGCTTCTGTATCTTTGGTCTTTGAGGAATAACAAATGTTCACAGATGTCAGCGAGCCCACTTTTACTGCGTAAAAAGCAGGATCAGTACAATAGGTTTACTCAGTCTCGCCCCTCCAGTGACCTCTCTGTGGGAGGGGGCCAGGGCAGAGAAGAGATATATAGGCGCGAGAGAGGAAGGAAAAAAGAAAGAAAAGAAAGAGGAAAAACAGAGTATGGAGTGAAGATGGGTGGGAGAGAGAAAAAATAGAGAGAACAGACTCGCGAGAGGTGAAAAAAAAAAAAAGAGGAAGCGAGCTGCTGGCACTCAGACAGACAGAGAAACGGGGGTGCTTGTTTTCCTCACTCTCCCCTCCCTCTGGCTTTAAAAAGTGAAGCAGGTCTTTGAAGAGGGAGGGGGGAGCGAGGGGTTGGGGGCCGTCCTGGACCAGGACGGTGGGCAGTATATAGTGAGCGGAGGCAGACTCCGGGCGGGCTTCAGGGGGACCGGCAGCACACGGCCATGAACGACATCAAGCTGGCCCTGCTGGGCAGCCAGGGGGCCGGGAAATCAGGTGAGCTCCATTACACACGTCTGCTGCAGATGACAGAGAAAAGAAAAAGGTTGGAGGAATATTTTTGGATGGGGAGTAGACTTGGTCTGGATGACATTGCAAAAAAACTGACCTACATTTTTCCCCCTCCATCAAAATAGTCCGATGCATCAGTCAGGTCAGGTAGCTTTTACTCCGAACCAAAGCCGAATGTCTCAGAAATTCCTAGTAGGATGTTTCAGAGTAGGTCTTATATTAAATCATGCCATGATATATATCTATAACATGTTATCATATACAGTCACTGTACTATTATGTGTTGTCATGCTGGTGAAAGAGAAGCAAAAGAATGTCGGCGTGTGTGGCAAAAACAAATCATGCTAAAGAATATCCATTATTTAAAACAACCTTTGGTCAGCCAATAAACTCCTCAATTCACAAATTCAGCATAATCCCTAAGACCTTAAAGATAACCAAAGGTCAGCTACTTATATATAGAACAGGTATAAAATGATATAATTCAGATTAATACACAGTTCTGTTTGAATACAGAAGGACTCTGGTCTATATATTTTGGTAGACTTTGGGGTGTCTCTGCATGACTGCTGACCCACAAAAACACACACAATTGATGAGAATTGAGGATGGATTTCCTTATAGGGCTCTCAAAAGAGAAATTAAAAAATGTAACTAAAAAAGTTATGCTCGCTCAAAGACTTCCTGATAAATAAACACTGATGTAGTTGTCATTTCTTCGATGCCATCATCCTACTGTATGTTCCCCAGTTCTAGGGGTCAAGATAAGGTTTCTGTTTTTTTATTGAATGGATTATTTTTTCAGAACAATGCTACATTTAAATAATGGGGCTTCACTTTAGCCCTTGTTCAGTTGTTTTAGTCCACTCCTGCTCTGTGTCATGAGCTGTTTTTGTGGAACATTACTGCAACAAAAACAGGGGCAGAGAAATAAGTCAGGGGGGGCTATTTGTCAGGCCTTTAGGCAGTTTTGTGAGAACTGTTGCCAAAAGACACAAAAAACTATGCATACCAGTTAGGTGAGACCTTTTTTTACTTCTTTGTTCTAATTTGTTTTTCAGCTTCCTGACACACGGAATAGTCATTCCAAACCTCACTGCAAACTTAGATTCTCCAACAGAGTTGACATAAGTTTCACACTGAGGAAAAACAAGAGGGCCTTACACAATCAAAGTAAACTGATGGTCAGAGGACTTCCATGTTTATGGAGAACTTCGAAGTTTCACTTGGGGGAAGGAGTGAGCAGGAGGCCATGTTTGAAAAAAAACCTCTTGACATAATATATACTGACTTTTTATTGAGTCGTTCTCATAGAAAAGATTGAACGCAAAGATCTGATAAATAAAATGTGTTTGAATGCTTGTGACTAAACGTCAGAAAAACTTTAAACCACTGAGTATAAATAGTTCAGGATTTGTTTTGGCTAACTTAATAAATAGCTAAGAGTAACTGGTGGTCAAAGAGTTATGGAAACTACATGTAAACTACATTGTAATTATTTAAAAAACAATTAAAAAAAGACCTTATAAATCTAAACATTTACCACATTTACTACTGTGCTGAACCATTTTATTAGCGAAAAATCTGAAATGAGTTAACGAACGGCTAACATTGCTGTCATGTCTCATCATTGAAAGCTTCATTTTAAGAGGCTAAAGAATTCACAGGAACTACGAACAGTTTTAAACATGATATCTTATATCAGAAATAGTTGTCATCACTGTTTTTAGTAGCAGCTTTTTCATCTATGCTTTAAAGGTAACAACTGGTCCACATAACCAGAAAGGTCTGCTGGGTCTACAAGGTCTATATAATGCAACCAAGCATTACACAAATCATTTCTACATAATCTGACAGAGAATATGCTTCCCTGTGTAATAAGTATAGATAATAAACAAACAAAAAAACTATAAAATTCAACATTCAGTAGTTCATGTATGTGAGTTGTCACTGTTAAGTGTCAGAGCCTCTATGTTGACGAGTTCCTGACAGTAAATGTGAGTCTTTTTAAAGAAAACGTTTGTTGATGCCCTGTCCACAGCATCTCCAGTGGTACTTTGCATGTTCTCGGGACTTGTTGTAAGGCCAAGCTAATGTTAATCAAAACCTGCTCTGCAGAGCTTCTTAAGATGGTACTGAAAGCCAATCAAACACACAGACTCAAAAGCCAAGACTGTTATTTTATGGGATGTTTCAGCAGCATGGAAACGGTGATATGTAGCCTACCAGTTAGTTCCAGGACTGGTTTCAAAAGTCATAGGAAATGATGATGCATGATCAATGCCCCTGTTGTTTGGTGTGTTGTAAATAGATATTTTCAATATATTTACAGTGGTTTCGAAATGTGGACGTTCCATGAATGTTACATAGCTTCATCCATGGAGGGAAAAGGACAAAATAAATAAAAATTACATTTCCAAAACTTTCAGAACTCCAAAACTTGCATTATTAGTAATTAAGTCAAAGCTTGCTTTTCAAAATGTCTACATTTAACCTCGATAGATAGATAGATAGATAGATAGATAGATAGATAGATAGATAGAT